CTTGGCTTTGGTTTGTCCTTGCTTGCCTAGTTCCTGAAGTTACATGTTCCGTTTATGTAAATATCTTCCTGCTCTTTTGATGTAGATGTAATTGTCATACATTTCTTTCATCCTAATGCTTTGTCGAATTCCAGGGAAAAATGTGGTGCTTTTCCATTTTATTTTGTTTAGACATTTTAAATAGAGGCACATTTCCAAGCTCTTCTTTGAACCTGGGGTGAGCATGTCAATTACCATATATTAGCACACTTTTCACAGTTACTCTTGATGTTTCCATCTAACTTTCTTTCATTGCTGTCAGAGAAGACACATGGTAGGGCATTCTAAAGTTGGACCTGTTGGTGGCCTAACATACGGCTCCTTCTGGAGAATGTCCTCTGTGATGAGGAGAATGTTGGGAATGCCAAGCTATGGTATGAAATGCACTCTGACTGAGAGGTCTACTTAGTCTATGCTATTGTTTCTCTCCCATGTTTCCTGTTTGTCCTTTTTCTGGCTGATCTGTCCACTGAGGAAAGCAGGGTGCTGAAGTGCTAAACTGTTAAATGTGTTGGAATCTACCTTTTCCTTCAGATCTTAGTATTTCCTTTATTTATTTTGTGGTCCAGTGTTGGGTACACATGCACTTGAGGCGATTGTCTAGGTGAACCGATCTCTTTATCACTGTATAACAACCTTATCTCTTTTCATAGATTTGAGCTTAAATTTTTTGTTTGACATTAATAGAGGCACATGTGCTAGTGTTGTAAATTCTGTTGGGAGTAGCTCTTCTATACTGTCACGTGCAGTGTGCATGTGCCTGGCCATGTTCATATTGTCCAGTGCACGCTGGATCCTTTGTGTCTTTGCCCTAGCCATGAGCAAAGGCCACAGACTCAGCTATGCTCATAACAAGCAAAGCTATACCCGAGTGTGTTCTCTGCTGACTTCCATTTAAAGTCATATCTGGGTCTCTGCAGAAAAAAAGGCTTCTCAGCTAACCATGGCTTCGAGTGCTCACTGCAGGATGGCCTCCTGTCAGAACTTTGCCCACATTCTTAGCCCCCATAAGGCTGCTCTTGTGTGTGGGCAAGTGTGTGTGCACATGTGTTCTCTTGTGTACCATGTGGTTGAATACTGCCATAGGGTTGCTTCTTGCCACCAAAGACTTCCCATGAGCATTTCTTGTGAGTTTACCCAGGTATGACTTCTAGGTAAGTCCTTTTCCACATCCACTGTAGACAAAGGACTTCTCAGCTGCATTTGTCCTCTGGTAGAAGGTGAGGTTGAACTTTTTCTTTGATACCTGACACTCAAAGTTAAAGGAGAAAAGGTTTATTTAGCTCACGATCTGTGGAAATTTCAGTCTATAGTTAGCTGGCTCTAAGACATGGTGGCACATGACAAAAAGGCAGCTGTTCATTGTGGTGGAAGACAGGAAAAGCAATGAAAGAGAGAGAGAGACAGACAGAGAAGAGGGGTAGAACTTTAAATGAAGTTTCACCACACTTCTTGCACACATAAGGCTTCTCCTTGGAGTGTGATCTCTGGTGTCTGAGATTTGCCTTCCAGCTAAAACTCTGTTCATTCTTCACAAACACAGGGTAAGTTTAAGGCCAGCCCTAGGTTACATATTGATATCAGTAATCAAACTCAGAACCTTGTACTTGCCAGGCAGGCGCTTGTACTGCTGAGCTATATCCCTGGCTCAAACTTTTAAAAAGAAGAAAAAAAACAAAAAACAAAAAAAAAAAAAACAGAAAACTGACCATTGTCACAAAAACACAACCTGATGACAGACTTCAGCCATCAATTCCAAGCTTCTCTGGAAATCATGCTATCTTAAAGCCATTCATTATTGCATGAGACAATTCCCCCTACTGATGATGGTGTTTCAACTTGTGTTTTCTGTCACTGGCTACAGAAAGAGCCATATCTGATAGAACACCCACCTGCTGAGAAGCAAAGTACAAAGAGGATGTCAGACTCAGGGAGAGAGAAGTTTACAGTATATTATTTCGCCGTATTCCTCGTGTCTCAGCACTCTGGGTGCAAGTGACAGAAACACATCCTGAATTTAAGCCAAAGAGGGAACTGAATGGCTTTTGGTCATTGACTTAGTAAGTATTTATCGAATAGGACCAGGACCAAACATACAAAAAGCCCTCCCTGGGGCCGGCCAGATAGCTCAGCAGACTAAAGCGCCTGCTTAGGCAGATGCAGGGATGGTGTTGGATCCCTGGACAGCCCCACCCCCAGGGTGCCCTGAGCTGGGGGATTGAGACTGGGTGTGATGGTGCACGCCTGTAATCCCAGAGATTGGGAGGCTGAAAAACAGGAAGGATCACTACACATCTCATCTGTGTAGTGAAACCCTGCAGACCTGAACTAAATACATTAAAAAAAAAAAAAAAAGAGCCCTCCCTTCACAGAGCTTACACAACATAGCATCTAACTATGGGTCAGATGCTGAAAACTGTTATGAAGAAAAGGCAGGGGAAAGAAGACCCAGCATTACTGGGAAAAGTGACAACTTGAAGTGGGTGACCAGGAAGCTGAGCCAGTGGGCAGGAAGGATGAAGTGCTCTGATTGGCCAGCTGAGCCACATTCTTAGCCCTGGGTTCCTAGAGGAGGTCGAATCACCTCACCAACCCTCATAAAACAGAAAGGGAGGGGCTTCACTTACACAACACTTTGGGCAGTTGAACATTTGTCCACTACAGGCTCCCAGGTGCATCTAGAACATATCCATTTGCTGGCGTCTACTTCCACCAGAGCCAGGATAAGCTAACTTTATGCTTGGAACCTCCTCCATAGTCCACCTGTCCCCGTCAGTCCCCCTGTAAACACTGTCTGCCACAGCCAGTAATCCCCTCCCATCATTCCTTTCCTGTGCTCAGCTGCCCATTCTCAAGGGAAAGTCTTCTATTCTTTGAGGAATATCTATCTACCAAGCCCAAATATGTACAACTTTTTTTAGAAGAGAGGACAGGGTCTTATTAAATTGCAAATGACTCTAAAATACCTATAAACTGAATATGGGCGTGCACAGCTATAATCCCAGCACGACTGGAAGCTGGGGCAATAGGACTGCAAGTTTGAGCCCTGCCCAGGCAGTATAGCACGACCCCATCTCAGGGCCAGCCAGATAGCTCAGCAGACTAAAAAGCCTGTTTAGGCAAAGTGCAGAGGCCGGGATTCAATCCCCGGGGTGCCATGCCGGCCCACCCCCGGGGCACACTGAGACAACATTTGAGAATGGAATTTGTAATCCCAGTACTTGGGAGGCTGAAAACAGGAGAATCACTATGAGTCGGACCTATGTAGTGAGACCTTGTAGACCCTGTAAAAAAATTAGACCCCATCTCAAAATAAAAAACAAATCTGGGAAGTAGGCACATGCCCATAGTCCTCCCACTGGGAGGCTAAGGTGGGTGGATCACTGTGAGTTCAGGACAGCCTGGTCATCAGTGAGTTCAAAGCCAGCCTGAACTATATACAAGACCACCTCACTCACTCACACACACACACACACACACACCAGACACAGAAGCAATTATGAATTCCCCTTGCCTAGTGACACAAAGCTCCTATCATCAGAGTTGACTCCCTAAAATGCTGGCACAGAGCTGTGTTAGGGAGGTGACAGGGAGCTACACTCCTGAAAGCTGATGTGATAACTGCCACAGACCAGCAGGCCATGCCTCTATCCAAGGCCACCTCTCTTCTCCCTCTGGCTGCCTGAGACTGGCTGCCAAGGAGAAAAGCCTGGTGACTATCTAGACCAGGAAGTGCATGACTGACACATACTTTCAGAGGAAGCAAATAGTTACAGAAGTCTTTCACCTAGGGAGAGCAACAGGATTTTAGGAAAAACTAGCCCAAATGTACAGAATGTCATCTTTATCCTTGGATTCAGCGCTCATTTTGGTGGTGGCAAGACAACTAGCTTTGACGTAACATATGACTCCTTGGATTGTGTAAAGAAAGATGGACCCCAAGGGGCCGGGGAGATGGCTCAGTGGAATAAGCGCTTTCCGGGCAAGCGCAAGGGCCTGAGTTCAGTCCCTGGTTCTGCCAAAAAAAAAAAAGATGGACCCCGAAAGACCTGAAGGTGTGGCTTCCGTGACAGAACAACAGACATCAAGAAAATAGTGAAAGGAACACAAGAGCAAAACGAAGCCAGGCATGGAGGTGCACACCTGTAATCCCAGCAATCAGGAGACTGAGTTTGAAACCAGCCTGGCCTACAAAGTGAGCTCCAGGCCACCCTGAAAGACCCTGTCTCAAAAAGACCAAAACAAATACCACAGGGGCCAGTACTGGTACTGGCAAAAGCAGAAGTAAAGATTTTCTAATGCTACTATATGCTGGTGAATGTGTCAATTTTTGCAGGAGATTAACAAAAACAACAACAACAAAAAAAATTTTTAAAGGAGCAATCAAGCTAGGTGTGATAGTGCAGATCTGTAAATCCGAGCACTGTGGGGGGCTGAGGCATATTAGGAATTTAGCAAGACCCTATCGAAAAATAAAAAAAAAATTAAAAAGGCTGGGGCTGTACCTCATTGTGAAGACCTTGGGTTCAATCACCCCTTTAAAAACAAAACAACAAAAAAGGTACAGTCATATTCGTTCTCTGCTAAAGAACATTAGTGAACTGCTTTTCTTAAATACCAGTCTCAGGGGGCTGGGGAGATAGCCCAAAAGATATATGTGCCTGCCTCACAAGTGCAAGTGCTGAGTTCAATCCCTGGTGCTGGAAAAAACAAAAAAACCAATCTCAGGCCCTAGGCTATGTCTTCCAGTGTCTGCTGCACTCTCTGTTCTCTATCAGGAACTCCAGGCCCGGGGTCCCGGCACGTGCGGCTCCTGTCCGCTTGCTTCTTAACCTTATGGTCTTTCCCCTTGCTTATTCAGTTTTAGCCCCAATATCTCCCACCTCTTCTGCAACCCTCCCCACGCCCACAGCCCCCACGCCATCCTTGTTGCGTCTGAAGCTCAGGGCAAGTCGGCCAGAAAGGGGCCAGCCCTTGCGGTTCTTTTGTGTTGAATGTCCTCACACCAGAGGCCTTTCATGACCCCTCTTTTGAGTAGTACCTTCCCTAGTATGTCACTCACCACCCTTTCTTTCCTACACTGATCAAAAGTTGCGATCTTTTCATTTGTTTTACTTTGAGGCCAAATGAGAGAAATTCTCGGTTGCGGAGAGGGAAGGAGACAACAGAGTGGCAGAAAACACCCGGCAGTCCATAGACCCGGCTGCACAGGCTACAGCGTACCGCTCCGCGAGATTCAAAGGCTAGGTCTCTCTTCCTCGGGTGACGGGAACCAACCGTTCAGGCTCTGCCGAAAATTCTGGTTTGAACCTTCTTGGTCAACTCGGTGCGGTTCAACCCCCAGGGTCTCCGCAGGAAGCACGATTTCCCAAGAACCTCTAGGCGTCCGGAGTCGAGTCCCCACTAGGCGCGTTCGGTGAGCAATCATTGTGGGCGGCACAACTACTAGCGGAACGATCCTGCCTCCGCCCCCGCGAGAGTCGAGGACTGCGAGACCTTCGTCTTTAAAATCGGCCCCTTCAACTTTCCGAAGGGGCGGGGCGACGAGCGGAGCAGCCCGGCTCCATCTCTCAATCCCGTTGGCGCTCACGGGTGTCGGGCTGTTCAATAACAGGTCCTCTTCCGGAACTTCCTGGTCGCCGCAGCCAATCAAAGTGTTCTTCCTGTCCTTACCCTTGTCAGGTCGCAGCCAATCGGCGCGCCTCTACCTACACCCCTTAAAGGCGCCGCCACCGCCTCCGGCGCCGCGGTGGACCAATTCCTGGGTTCCGACCCCCGCCGCAGTATGGAGTCGTCTCAGGGGCGGCCCGGGCCAGAGGCGGGCCTTCTGGCCGTAGCGGAACTAGAGGCCACGGTTTTCCGCGGCGGGCCGGACCGAACACCCCCTCAGCCGCCTTCAGGCTTGATGGTGTCCGGAGAGGAAGGGGCGGAGGACGTTGGGGGCTCGAGCCGCCACCTCAGGGCGTCCTCGAAGGTTTCGAGCATAGTCCACCGGCCGGAACGCGAGGCTGGCGAGGTCGAGTCCGGCCCCCGAGCGGCGCTGTCTGGAACCCGGAGCCGCCGCGGAGTGTCAGGTCTCGAGCACGACCCGCCCCCGTCCTCCCGGGACAGGGACCCTGAGCCGGCCGAAGAGAAGCCCGCTTCCGAGAGGTTCTGCCGTCGAGGGAGCCCGCGAGGCGGCGAGATGGATGTCGAGCAACTACCGAGGGAGGAGCAAGACGACGGCGAGGAGGCAGAGGCAGAGGCGGAGGGCAGGGCTGGTCGCTCGTTCTGCAGCCGCCTTCAGGACAGCCGCAGCCTGGACGGACTGAGCGGGGCGTGCGGCGGCGCGGGGGCCGCAGCGGGGGCCGAACCCAGCGCGGGCGGTGGACGCCGCGCCACTATTTCCAGCCCTTTAGAGCTGGAGGGCACAGTAAGCCGGCACGGCGACCTCACCCACTTTGTCGCCAACAACCTGCAACTCAAGATCCGCCTGAGCGGCGCCCCTCCGCCTCTCCCACCTGCCCCCGTGCGCCCCTGCCTAACGCCCGCACCCACTCCCACCATCCCACCCATAGACGCCGACGTACTACGAGATCTGGAGCGGCTGAGTCGGGAGCTGGGGGGCCGGGTGGATCGTCTGCTTCGCGGACTGGGTGGTGCGGTTCAGGAGCTGACGGCGCTGAGCGTGGGCTGCATCCAGACCTACCGCGACGCCGTGGACTCCTTAGGCGAGGCCGTGGACATGAGTATCAAGGGCATGTACACCCTGCTGGCGCGCTGTGAGGAGCTGGAGCGGGCTCTGCAACCGGTTCAGGGGCTGGCTCGTCAAGTTCGAGATATCCGACGCACTTTGGAGGTGTTGGAGGCACTGTGCAAATAAGCAGGAGAGCGCAGAGGCCAAGGCTGGCCAGGACAGGACCCAGCAAGACTTTAGAGACTCTTCCAGGTGGAGGCCTGGTGGGAACTGCCTTCCTGAGGGGAGACCTCTGTGCTGGAGATTTTCCCTCTGCATCTAGCTGGTCCATGTCCACCCACTTGGCCTTAGGAGGCCCATAGGGGGAAGGTCTAACAGTCCTGATGGGAAGGGGATGTTGCTCTGCTTCTATTCTGCTGGCCTTCTGTAGCTACCCTGTTCTTACCAACTTCCCTTCCCAGCTAGAGCACCATCCCTAGGAAGCTAGGGTCTGTGGTCTCAACTTGAGAGTGGAGACCTGACTCCACGTGAGATCAAGACAAACAGAGAATGTCTCAACCCCAGTGTGGCCATCCTGGCTCGGGTAGCCACATCTCAGGTGCCAAGGCCTTTGGGAGCTTGAGTGTAGGCAAGGATACACAACTGCAGATGGATGACCTCTGAACCTACCCTCTGGTCCCCACAACACTGCTTCCCCAGCCAGAACTGGGGTGGAGCCAAAAGGAATGCCCTGCATGGTGGAGGGGGTGAGGTGGGAGGTGTCTCACTGCTCAGGGTTCAGGTAGAATTGTTGCTGGTCTTGAAGCCCACCCACCTGTTGTGGAATGTTCTAATGCATTTTAGCTTCCTGAATTTTTGTGGAATTAAAGTGCTGCTACTGCTAAGGCTAAAGCTGCATCTGTGTGTGGTTGCAGGGGTTGACTGGTCAAGAAACGGGAATGAAGGTTGGTCTTGTTCGCGGAGCTCTTTGGGGGCAGTGCTGGGAGTGGGGTGGTGGTGGAGATCCCAGAGAAGGTTGTTTCCTGCCATTAGGGGATCCAAGGGGAAATTGGAGGCCCAGAGCATGCAGGCAGGAGCCCAGAAGTCCAATAAAAGCAGAAATGAAAGCAAAGTTCTGCAGAAGAGGAGGGGGAGGGGAAGGGGCTATCTTTTTAGGTCCTGATGAACAAGGCATCTCGTCAGTTGAACATCTTGACTGTGAAGGAAGATGGGAACATCTGAGACAGCTCTATTTCTGACCATTTGTCAGTCCACTAATCTGCCATAATGATTTGAGACAATCTTATCCCAAATCCTGACATTTCTGTTTACAGTTAACATAGTTCAGGGGCCACGTAATAAGACCATGCAATTTTGATACAGAGATCACAAAACTATGGTTCACCCCCCACCCCAAGACTGTCCCATTTTGAATTGACCTCCACAACACCAGGATCTTTTCAATGTGAGACAAGCTTTCACAATATAGCCACAGCCATCTCAGTCCCGGAATTACATGGGTTTCTTTTACAGGATGTAGAGAAACGAAGGTTGTTCCTTTGACAGGGTTTGAAAAGTTCTAGAAATGTCCTACCCTGTGAGACTTTTGATATACAAAATTGAGCCTCGGTAACTGTACTCCAAAAGTGACTGTAGTGGCCCGTACGGGGATCGAACCCGCGACCTTGGCGTTATTAGCACCACGCTCTAACCAACTGAGCTAACCGGCCAGCTGGCAGCTTTGGCCTGATATAATACTATGTAAAGCGTCTTTACTGCTTAGTTTTGTTCTACAAAGATTTTTACAACTGTTTTTTAGATTTAGATGATATAAAAGAATATGTAAACTGACCATTTAGAATACATTGACAGCTCAGCAATTCCGGTTCTTTTTTTTTTTCTTTCTTTTTCTTTTTTCTTTCCCCCTGGTTTTCTGGAGACAGGGTCTCACTAAGAGGTTCAGGTTGCTCTTGAGCTCACTTTGTAGCCCAGGCTGGTCTCAAATTCTCAACGGTCCTCCTGACTCAGCCTCCCGAGTGCTGGAATTACAAGAGTGCGCCACCACGCCCGCCATTGGACTCCTGGCTGTAGGTCTAACTCACAAATATGACCTGAGAAGCAGGACCTGTGGTGTACATGAGAGGCAAAGGATATTTATCAAAAACTGTTGGATATCTCAAAGTACTGTATAGTGTACATTCAGCTAAGTAATAAATTCAAAATTTACGGAAGGTTACCTGAGCATGTCTTCTGTTACCTGAGTATTACTGTGTAAAACCCGAGAAGGGCTCTCAATGTATGCAGTTAATAAATATATATTCTGAGTTAAAAAAAAAAAAAAGAAAAGAAATGTATTAATTATTGAATCTGTCTTACTAATCGGTTTTGAAACTGTCTCATTGTGTTTCTCAATAAAATTATTTTAAAAATAAAATAATACAATTTAAAAAAAAAAACAAAAACCCGAGAAGGGGTGAAGGGACTGGATTTAGAATTCAGGATCTCCAGCTTGCTAAAACAGGCACTTTAGCCAACTACGCCACGGCCGAGCTTCACCCCCAAAGGCAACGTGCCCTAATTTCTTGGACAGTCCAGCTCCATAGACGGTGCGTGAATACGTATTTTCTCCTAAGACTCTTGGTGGTGCAGAAAAATGTAGTAGAAACAAAAGACGTTGGAGAACAGTGGCAACGAGGGTATGGAAAAGAAGGTGCCGACAGAAATCCCTACTTTGGGATTAGAAAAATTTTATGGTACTTTACGGAGGGAACACCGACGAGGATGGGATTCGAACCCACGCGTGCAGAGCACAATGGATTAGCAGTCCATCGCCTTAACCACTCGGCCACCTCGTCCACATAGAGCTGCCTTAAGTTCTTTTCTCTGGGGTTTGAACTCTTACTCCTGCCAGCAGGACTCAAGTCTGTGTCTGGGAAGCTGCTCAGCAATTCTGAGCGCGGCACAAAAACCTCCCGCTAAACTGAACTCTGGAGCTGTGTCTATTCTCTGGAACCCCAATGTCCGCCCAAAATTACCGAGATCCGCCACATAACTATCTTGAAGGATCACCTGGATCTTTCGACAAGACGGCCTCAAGATTTCCTTATATGCTTTTGTTTTTATTTTTGTTTTCTCCAGGAACTGAAATTGGATTAGATTTATAAATAAAGGGAATGAAAGTAGACACGGAAAAAAAAAAAAAAAAAAACAACTTGACCCCGACGTGATTTGAACACGCAACCTTCTGATCTGGAGTCAGACGCGCTACCGTTGCGCCACGAGGCCGGCCGGCTCAGGCCCTGGATAGGTCTCCCTTTGAGCATTGTCCGGCGTGGCGGCTGGAGGCCGGCAACCCAGGTCTGCGGAGTGAACACAGGGCTGGCAGACCGAGCCTTGCGAACGATACCCGCGGACAGAGGCTTTGCTGCTCTGTCTCGTCGGTGCCTCCCACCCTGCTCTGGTGCCCTGTCAAATACCGGGTGGAAGGCACTGACCTGATCACCAGGCGGACCCAGAGCTCACAACCCAGAGAGGACCTGTCCATAATCAGACAGAAAGATTGGTGCCAGGCAGACCGTGGGGGAGCCATGCCAGAGTCCAGGACGCCCAAAGGGTGGGCGATGAGCCCCTCCAGCGGGTTGCAGACTCCTGCGGAACCTTCAGACATACCCAGCCCGGTCCCCAGGATTGGAGATTCTAATTTTTTTTAACCTATCCAGCAAAGCCCCACCATTAGTGTGTAAAATCTTTTTTTCCTTTGGCTCCGAATGCCTTCAGGGCACGTTTGACTGGCTTGAGTTGTGGGATCGAACCACAGCAACCTGAGCCTGACTGCTTTGTTGAAGCAGCCACTTAAAGAACTGAGCTAAGGGGCAGCCCCCCAGTGTGTAAAATTTTTGAGAGGGGGGGAAATGTGCACTTAAATTTTTTTGTACTTAAAATATGTACTTAAATTCTTGAGGCATAATTTACATAAAACAAAAAGCAGGTTTTAAGTGTATATTTCAATGAGTTTTGACAAATACTGCCTCACAATTCACAACTCTTTAAAGACATACAGGACATTTCCACTTCTCCAGAAAGTTCTCCGCTTGTCCCTTCTGGGTGGATTCCTGCCCATCCCCAGAGCAACCCAGATTTCTGCAATAACTTTCTTGAAACTTATTAACTACCACAGATATGTCAAAGCTCAGAACTTCTCAGGCCTGGCATTAACTGATCCTGGGTAATAATTCTAAGACCTTGTTCTCCCATGACATTGATCTGTTGACCATCATTCCCGCATCGGTGTTTTTCTTTTTGTTACCTTTTAAATTTTTGTTTATTTATTTTTGAGATAGGGTTTCGCTACATGTAGCCCAGACTAGCCTCAAACTCACATCGACTCTCCTGTTTCAGCCTTGAGTGCTAGGATTATAGGCATATGCCACCACACCCAGCTTGTTTTATTTTTTGAGTCTCACTATGTAGACCAGAGGGTACTAGAACTCCCTATGTAAGCCCAGGGTGACCTATAACTCACTGTGATCCTCCTGCCTCAGCCTCATGAGTGCTGGGATTACAGGCTCACTCTACCATGCAGGCTTCTGTCCCTACTTTAAATCTTTGTTTTCATCAAAGTACAAAATACATAACACACACTATACATATTCTTTGGCCTCAGCCTGGGTGATGAAGGCTCCTGAATTCCACTTCTACCACTAGACATTCTCACTTGTGTTATCTCTTCTTCCTAGCCTTTCTGCGCTCTGAGTGAACAAGCCCAAGAGGAGGGACTCACCCTTGATTCTTCCCCTCCCTCACATCCCACTGCCAGCCACCAAGTCCTGTCAGTTCCGTTTCCTTAGCAATTTTCCTGTCAGTCCTACTGCTGTGCCTTCAGGCTCTCTTGCTAGATAATTTTAACAGACTCTGTTCTGATTTCCTTGCCACCAGGATAGTGGGATTTTGTGGCATCAGCAGTATTACATTTTCTGTGATAATGTGGCCTCTTGACCTCCCCATGACACAAGCCTCCCCTACTTCATCTGGCTGGCTTAGGAGCAGGACCAGCCAAAGAACAGGCCCATTCTCAGCCACCAATCTGGGGACCACCTTGGCAACTTTGGTGTGGCAATCTTCTGCAAAAGAGGGAAGGAGGCACATGTTACCGGCATGGAATGAAGTGGCAGCTGTCTGGGAAGCATAGGAAAACACGGAAGCCCCTAGAGTGTCTCAAGCCCAGTGATGCATGTAGATTTCCCCTCTTGCCACTTCCTTTACTCAGGTAAAATTGGAGCTACCAGGTAGTGGTTCAGGGTGACTTTTCTCTTACCTATCTTTTGTAATCTGGATAGTCACACAATCTAGTTTTTTAAATATATCAGGTATATCAGATTTAACAAATGTCAATGGAGCAGGGCATGCAGCTCAGTGGCATGGTGCCTGCCTAGCAAGTTCAAGGTCCTGAGTTTGATTACTGGTTCTGAAAAAACAAAGACCAATGAACAAAACAAAACCCCAGATGTTAGTATCTTGCCCCCCCCCACACCCCTTTGAGACAGGTCTCCAGTGCAATTCAGGCTGATCTGGCTTTTTTTTTTTTTTTTTTTTTTTTTTTTTTTTATTGTTAGTCTAGGCTGGTTTGAACACACTACATAGCCCAGGTTGGCCTTGAATTTGTGGGATACTATTGCCTCAGCCTCCCAAAAGCTGGCATTACTGGTATGCATCACCATTCCTGGCCTCTGGCTCTTTTAAAAACTAATACTGGGAAAAGCAACGGTGAGAATGTCTTTGACTAGCTTCGCTGTTGTTGAGAACTGGTTATATAGACAAGCATCGACACTAGGTGACAGATTACTAGCAATGCTTAAATCTGTGCTGCTACAGTTTGTAATAGCTAAATCATGGAAGCAGCCCCAATGCCCATCAATCGATGAACGAAGATGTGGGGGGTTTATACAGTGGAGTACTACTCTGCCATAAGGGAGGGTACGCTTGAGAGTACCTTGAGATCATACTCAAGTGAAATAAATCTGACACACGGGTACATGCCACATTTTTTCTGTGGTGTGGGAAACCAAAAATGTAAATGAGGACCAAATGTGTACTAGATGCTGTGAAATAGGAAGAAAACATTCAAAAAGGAAAGAGAATTAGGGAAGGGCAAGGAAGAAAGGAAGGGAAAAGAAGGGAAAAATGGACATAAAGCTTTTGTAAATAGAAAGGGAAAGAGGTGTTGGAGGGAGGGAAGGGGAATGAAAAAAAAAAAAGAATCAAGGTATATCATGTACAGGCGCGAATTCCCTATGATGGATGTGATCATAATATTATCTGAAGTGTACCAATAAACTTAATTAGAAAGAAAACAAAAACTCTGGGGCTGAGGAGATGGCTCAGTGGAATAAGCGTTTGCCTGCCTGAGTTTAATCCCCTGTTCCGCAAAAAAAAGAAAACAAAAACTCTGTGCTAATAAATTGATTGCTTTCAGTGGTATTAGAAAACTCAATCTGGAGTTGCCTGTGTTGTCTTCATTCTTCTGTTTACTTACAGTAAAGTTAAAAAAAATAATGAGTCTGGGTATGGTGGCGCACGCCTGTAACCCCAGCTCTTGAGAGGCTGTAAACAGGCGAATCACTGTAAATCTGATCTAGTAGTGAGACCCTGATCACCCAGTAGACCTTTCCCTAAAAAAAATACAAAAAATAATAATAATGCATGATGTACACCTCCAAAATATTAAAAATTAAGAAGTAGCCAGGTGTGGTGGTGCATATCTGTAATTCCAGCATTTGGGAGGCTGAGGAGGGGAATCACCATGAACTCAAGGCCAGTTTGAACTACTCTGTTTCAAAAAAAAAAGACAAGTTGAAAAACAGGCCGGGCTAGGTAGGGTGGTGCATG